ACATGTATATTTGAAAGATTTATTGTTACATATATGCCTGAGTGAGACAAAATGCAAAATTTGTCCATATTAAACATATACATGTGCTTTTAATGGATTTAATTAAAATAGGATATAACAAATGAAAAAAAATGATTCTTCCATACAAATAATACAAATCATAACTGAATTTTTTAGAATTCTAGAGGAAAGTTAAAGAATGTCAAGCTAAGATTTAAAAACAGTATAGGTCAATATGTTACTAATATTCTTATTGTAAGTATATTCCTAACAGCGACAGCAATTAATGCTGATCTGTTGTTTGTTATTCTGAAGCTCCTGTCAGAATCTGTGCCTCACTCCCCTTTTATCTCCATGACAACAAGGGGAGGTATTTGTTGTGCTCCCTGGTTTGAATATAACGAAATTAAGTAACTTGTTCAAAGTCTCTTAACCACTAACAGTGCAGTTAGGATTTATGAAATGTCTTCAAATCAGAATTGTAGGGTACAGATTCTTTCAGCACAGCAAGTAAATTAGAGGAGGAGCTTATCAGAACCAGCTGCTCTTGGGTCTGAAGCGGCACATCTGTCAGGAGCCAGCCTGGACCCACAGGAGCATGCGACAGAGAGAGCTGAAGGACTGGGGGTGGGAGTGGAGCTGGAGACAGGGGAAGGAGCAGAAGTCCTTCCGAATGTGTAGTCTGAGAGATCCCTAGAGAGCAGGAGGATGTTAACATGTAGGATCTGGGTGTAAAGTTATTATCAGTAAAATGCTATGTAATTTTTACAAAGGGATGCTGGGTCACTTAGAAAAATGATGGCTAAGAATGAAATTTAAGTCCTTACCAAGGCCTCAGAGACCCTGCAACTTATGGCTCCTTCCTGCCTCTTGAGCTCACTTTTCAACCTCTCTTCCTCTGTCTTCCTACCTCCTGTTACCTCCTGGAGGCTGACAGTGCTTCTTCCTCAAGGCCTTTGCACTTGCTCTTTGTGTTTCTTCCCTGATGAATAATGAATTCTGTGTCAGTTTTACCCCTAAGTATTACATATGTTTGATGTTATTATAAATAATATTGCTTTTTATGTTTGATTTCTATGTCATCAGTGTTTGGGTTTATTTCTGGGCTGTCTTTTCTGTTCATTTAACTATGTGTCTGTTTTTGTACTGGTGCCATAGTATTTTGATTACTGTACCTTTCTAGTATAGTCTAAAGGCAGGGCACCTGATTCCTCCAGCACTATAGTTATTTCTCAAGATTGTTTTGGCTACTTGGGGTCTTTTGTGTCTCTAGATAATTTTTAAATTTATTCTATTTCTGTAAAAAATGCCCTTGGTATTTTGATAGGGACGGCATTGAATCTATAGATTGCCTTGGGCAGTATTGTAAGTTTCTAGGGACAGAAATATAATTTATTTCTGTATGCAAAGAAATGCAGGAAAACAATAGAATGGGAAAGGCTAGAGATCTCTTCAAGAAAATTAAAGATACCAAGGGAACATTTCATGCAAAGATGGGCACAATAAAGGACAGAAGTGGTATGGACCTAACAGAAGCAAAAGATATTAAGAAGAGGTGGCAAGAATATACAAAAGAACTGTACAAAAAAGATCTTCATGACCCAGATAATAATGATGGTGTGATCACTCACCTAGAGCCAGACATCTTGGAGTGTGTAGCCAAGTGGGTCTTAGGAAGCATCACTGCAAACAAAGCTAGTGGAGGTGATGGAATTCCACCTGAGCTATTTCAAATCCTAAAAGATGATGCTGTGAAAGTGCTACATTCAGTATGCCAGCAAATTTGGAAAACTCAGCAGTGGCCACAGGGCTAGAAAAGGCCAGCTTTCATTCCAATCCCAGAGAAGCGCAACGCCAAAGAATGTTCAAACTACTGCACAATTGTACTCATCTAACATGCTAGTAAAGTAATGCTCAAAATTCTCCAAGCCAGGCTTCAATGGGATGTGAACCATGGACTTCCAGATGTTCAAGCTGGATTTAGAAAAGGCAGAGAACCAGAGATGAAATTGCCAACATCCACTGGATTATCTAAAAAGCAAAAGAGTTCCAGAAAAACATCTATTTCTGCTTTATTGACTATGCCAAAGCCTTTGACTGTGTGGATCACAATAAACTGTGGAAAATTCTGAAAGAGATGGGAATACCAGACCACCTGACCTGCCTCTTGAGAAACCTGTATGCAGGTCAGGAAGCAACAGTTAGAACTGGACATGGAACAACAGACTGGTTCCAAATAGGAAAAGGAGTACGTCAAGGCTGCATGTTGTCACCCTGCTTATTTAACTTATATGCAGAGTACATCATGAGAAATGCTGGGCTGAAAGAAGCACAAGCTGGGATCAAGATTGCTGGGAGAAATATCAGTAACCTCAGATATGCAGATGACACCACCCTTATGGACGAAAGTGCAGAACTAAAGAGCCTCTTGATGAAAGTGAAAGAGAGTGAAAAAGTTGGCTTAAAGCTCAACATTCAGAAAACTAAGATTATCACGTCCGGTCCTGTCACATCATGGCAAATAGATGGGGAAACAGTGAAAATAGTGGCTGACTTTATTTTTTTGGACTCCGAAATCACTGCAGGTGGTGACTACAGCCATGAAATTAAAAGACGCTTGTTACTTGGAAGAAAAGTTATGACCAACCTAGGCAGCATATTAAAACATGGAGACATTACTTTGCCAACAAAAATCTGTCTACTCAAAGCTATGGTTTTCCTAGTAGTTGTGTATAGATATGAGAGCTGGACTATAAAGAAAGCTGAGTGCCTAAGAATTGATACTTTTGAACTGTGGTGTTGGAGGAGACTCTTGAGAGTCCCTTGGCCTGCAAGGAGATCCATCCAGTCTATCCTAAAGGAAATCAGTCCTGAATATTCTTTGGAAGGACTGATGCTGAAGCTGAAACTCCTATACTTTGACTACCTGATGTGAAGAACTGACTCCTTGGAAAAGACTCTGATGCTGGGATAGATCGAAGTTAGGAGGAGAGGGGATGACAGAGGATAAGATGGTTGAATGGCATCGCCAACTCGATGGACATGAGTTTGAGTAAGCTCCGGGAGTTTGTGATAGACAGGAAAGCCTGGCGTGCTGGAGTCCATGGGGAAGCAAGGAGTCAGACAGGACTGAGCAACTGAATTGAATAATTGATATTGTATCAATTTTGCTACACTTAAAGGGTTTTGGGAGATTTTGTGGATTTTATGGAATCCTCTATATAGACATATGTGCATTTGTGATAATGGATATTGTGCTATTTTTGGTGCAAGGTTATATAAGTATCAATTATGTCAAATTGGTTAATAATGTTCAAGTCTTTTATATCTTCCTGATTTTCTATGTCCTTTTTCTATTATTGAGAGGATTATTTAAATATTTGACTGTAATTTGGGTTTATTTGTTTCTTTTGTGTTTCTATTAGTTTTACCTGTATGCATATTCAAACTCTTTTATCAATTGAATAAAGGTTTAGGGTTATGTACATATGGTGAATTTTTCATTATGACTGCTTTATCATTATGAAATGACCCTCTTTGTTCCTGATGTATTCTTTTCTCTAAGATTTACTTTGGTATCTTTCCCGTACTTTTAATTTTGAATTATTTCTGTCTTTATATTTAGTGTGAGCTTCTTGTAGGCACCAAAGTTGAATGTTATTCTTTTGTTTAGTTGCAGAGTCTCTATATTAAATAATATGTTTCAACTTTCCATTTAGGATAAATTTTATGATTGGGTTTAAATTCATCGTTTTGCTTTTTTCAAAATCAGTCTCATCTGGTATTTGTTTATTTTCTCCTTATTTTTTAACTTCTTTTGGATATTGTATTTCTTTATTCTGTGTTATCTTTATTACATATTTGATTTGTTATTGCAGGGGTTGTTTAGTAGGGTAAATAAGCTATTCAGGTTATCTCTATATATTCCAAGTGATATTATACTTCTTTACATAACATATGGTTAAATTCTTGAGTTCTACCACATTAGAGATAAAACTGAAATTCAGAGAAGTGATGTCACTTGTCTGTGGCCAGAAGCCTTGATTAGGGGCTAAAATAAGAATTCTAGTTTGACTTCAGGCTTGGTGCAACCCTAGGGTGGGTTTTCATGCATTTTCTTTGTTGATTACCAAGTCACCATGGTTACAAATTATACTTACAAGCACCAATGTGGAAAATTTGGAATTATTCTTTTCTTGTTTTGGAAAATATAAGTTTTAAATGTCCCAAAGGAAAGCCCTAAAATTTCCCTGCAGACCACTTGGATAGGTATCACACAAGGCATCAGATAAATAATTAGTGAATCTGTGAGCCAGCTTTTAGTTGAGACCCTAGAGCAGAATTTGGCTTCCTTTGGCTCTTCACATTAGTCACTCTGGGAGAGTGATTCACATCCCATAAATCACATTCTGACTGTGACCAGGAGGGTTGTCTGAAATTGTATTTACTCATCTTATTCCCTGTGCCAGGACTGAGGAATATCTGAGACTGTCATCCCGACAGGTACCTCTCGTTAGGCCTGGTTATGAAAAAATGAATGCAGGATGCATATTTGCTTCTTGGATTTGTAACATCAGAATTGCACAATTCATCTGTTAAAATACTCTATTTGGGAAGATCAGATTTTATGTTCCCTGGATCATCAAGGGAACAAAGAAAAGAGTGTATTAATAATGTAAACAAGTATGTTAATATTCCTTTTAAACATAAGTATAACATAAGTAGGAGCCAATATTTATTAAATTTAAAATAGATTTTTGAATTCTCATAATTTTCTCAGATGTAATTTCCTTATTATAATTGCATTTGTGTCCGGATTTATCCCAAGTGTTATATAGTTATACAAGATCAAAATAAAATACTCTTCTGGGTATTTACACACCATCATTTTTTATCATTCATATTCATGAGCTCTAAATAGCAGATACTTTGAACCTAGGAGATAGGTTGGAAAAGTAATCAGTTTGTATAACTAACCTGATTTCTGCTTTTTTCTCTAGTTGAAGAAAGTAAAGAGTAAAATTCTTAGGCTGAAACAAAGTTTCAGGTGAGAAATGTATGCATGTATTTATATATGTATTTTTCCAGAACTTGTTTTAAACAAAATCAATAATGCCAGAATGCCTGGAGTTTTTTTTATATTCATAAAAAGATTATATAGAAATATCCTCAAATTATAACCTTCTGACAAATATTCATACAATCAGAAGAATTCTCTGACTTCCTTACTACGGCATTTGATGATCTCTATTCAGCTTCTGCAGAAGTTTACATTGTATTGGGGGAAGAAAGAGGAATCACCATGGTCCACTGGTTTCCCGAACGCACAGCAGCTGTGTGTGTGCACAGGCAGATGATCATCACAAACGTGGGCCTCTGAGGGCAGCATGAAGAAGGGTTTCTGTGCTGGCGGTGTGCGAGCAGACAGTGGAGAGGTGAACAGTGGAAACGAGAGCTGAAGCACAAGGCCCCTCCGCCTCGTGTGATCACTCTTGCTGCACAGATGTGTCACTTCCAGACCCAATGCAGCTCCTTTCAGGCTTTCCCATATGGTCTAATAAAAACAGGAAATTTCTGCAGCATAGTCATCTCCTGGAATAGATATTTAGCTGGCAGTTTCACTCTCTCATTTCTTTACAAGAGACGTATTCTTAGTTCTTCTTTCATTTCAGTTTCAGGAAATTTCTTTATTTCCTACTCTCTACCACCCTTGACTCGATGATGGCACGTTATTGCCCTGCACGTCCACTGCAGATAAACGTGATGGGTCCCATCCTGGACAAGGCTTGACTTCATTTCCTAAAATGTGTTTTATACAGGCTGATCACTGGAGTGAAGGATAACACAAAAATTCTATAAAACTGAATTAAAAGGTTTGCTCAGGAAAATAAAGAACAGAATGTAAAGTGAAATTTTATAAAGGATTAATTGTAAAAGATTGGGCTTGATTGATGAGATGTTGATTCATTTATTCAAAGATATTTCTGAATGCCCTCCATGTCCCAAGCACTGTATTATGCTTGGTTATGAGTTGGCAAATTAAAAAATAAAACATGACTACTGCCCTGGGAGCTCAAAATTTAATCTGGCAGGAGGTCAATAGACAAGTGAACAAATAAAAATTTAAATTTCATATTATAATACAGTTATACATGATAAGTGCTATGATAGAGAATAATTTGGTTGAGCTCCTATTAAGCAATTGAGGTTTTAGAAGGTCTCTCCGAGAGAATTTATTTAAATTGAGACTTGGCAATATGACCAGTCCCCCCTATGAAATTTTCGTGATAACATTCTATGGAAAGGAAGTACCATGAGCATTCTATGGAAAGGAAGTAACAGAAGCAGAAATCCAGAGCTGGACAAAGCTGAACATAATTGAGTAGAAGAAAGGGAGCTAATGTGCTGGTAGGGAGGCAGAACTGAAGTCAGAAAATAATCAGTTTGGATTATTTAGGGCCTTTTTAAATCACAGTAAAGTGTTGTGAAAATATATAATTAATGGAATATTTATAGTAATGGACATGAGTTTGAGCATACTCCGGGAGATAGTGAAGGACAGGGAAGTCTGACATGCTGCAGTCCATGGGGTCATAAAGAGTTGGACATAATTTAGTGACTAAACAACAACAGCAACATAATTAATGGGTCAATATTTCAGTTCTGTTTCTTTACTAATTGGTGTTCTATTTATTATGAATGATTGAATAGATATGATTTTGAATAGAATATTATTTTATTCTGTATACATTAGTATATATCTACTTTCATTCTGAAAACAAGTGATCTCCCATCACTCGGTGGAAAAGTACAGGTATTGTGTGATTGGCTGATGTGCTGAAGGAGATGATAATGGCTTTGAAATGACATGGACTAAGGTCAAGTGACAGAAGCACATTTAGAACTCAGTTCATGTTTAATCTTTAACGTGATTCTGCTAAACATCAATGAATTGAAAAATAAATCCTGGCTATATTGATGTATCATGATAAAATGTAACAAAACATAGTCTATGACAAGCAGGATTCAGAAATGGATAAGTGATGGAGGTGGAACAGTTTCCCAGTTTGAATGTCTGTATTTCCTAAAGAAGATGGAAATGAGTAGAAACTTAAAATTTCATGAAATGTTGTAACCCATATATGTGTTGAGAATGTTAAAATTAAGAGCTGGGCCAAAACTGTCCCCATTTATGTGAAGCATCTTCTTTACTACAGTAGTTGGGAAAGGCATGAAGGACAGGTCAATATTGTGGATAGAGTTGTCATCTAAAGTGTTTTTCTATGATGATCTGTCTGCCCCACTTTCAGCCTCAAAGTGTATTTCTCTCTTTACTGGTTATCGTTTTCTAGATTCCAGTCTTTAAGGCTCTTTCCTGTTTTTTAGTTCTTTTTTTGGCAGTGCTGTCTAATAAATCCCCTTCACAGAGTAATTCACTCTTTAAAATAATTGCTAGAATATCTGCCATGCAGGACATATAATGCGCTTCCTCTCCAAATGGTGAAACTGGATCAGTAGAAAGAAATACTTAAATATGTTAGTAACTACAGTGTAGGAAAAAAGTTGCAGTTGGTGATAGAGAAATTTAAAACATCTGAGGAGGGAATTAAGAAGAGAACGTGCCAACATTTAGTTGGGAGAGAGGATGAACATAGTTGTGAAGCTAACAGAATTTGAAGTGATAAATTGAAGAGTGGGCGTTACTGCGCAGGTCCGGAAACGGGTCCCGGTGACGGGATACGGCACGCATGCGCACAACTGGAGAGCAGTGTGATGCCCCCGCTGGTGGTTTGTCTGGACACAGGCCAGTATTCCTCAGCTTGCTCACTTACTTCATCTTAACTCGGCACCAAGTGACTATTGGTTACTATCAGAAATAAACCTACCTAGTAAGATAAAAGTAGGTATTCAGATGAGGCTCATTTGTGTTCGTTTTACTGTGGGAGCCAGGTTCCCTGCGATACTCTTGTGTAGTTCACTCCGCATTCCACCAAGGTTGGTCTGCGGGACAAACATCATGCAGAAGAGAGGATGGAAAGCAGCTTCTGAGGTGAGGTTGTGAGATATTGCTGCTTCTGGTCTGGTGGTTTTCTTGCTCCCTCTTGGGTCGCTCACTCAAGGAAATGCCAGCTGCCATGTGATGAGTAGCCCTGAGGAGGGTCCTGCTAGTGAGGATCTAGGGCCTCCAGCCAGCAGGAGATGCTGACGACCTAGTGAAGCCTTCAGACGAGCGGGTCCTGGCCGCCATCTTGATGGTGACCCCTGGGAGACCTTGAACCTGATCCACCCGCTGAAGCTCTTCTGGATTCTCAGAGACTGTTAAGTGAGTGGTATTGTTTTAAGCTGCTGAGTTTGGGGGTCATTTTGTTAAGCATCATCAGTAGATAACTAATACATTTCCCAGTACCTTGAATAGTGTCTGACACGTATGTATATATGAAAGATTCTCAGTAAAGGTTTAATATGTATAATATAGAAATAAATAGAATATTCACTAGCTTTTTATACTAGTGACTAATTTTTAAAATTCTAGTTCTAAATATGTAATTTTTATATAGAGCTCAAATTATATTTTAAGAATTTTTTAAAGTATATAATTTGCAACTATTCAATGTACTGTTGACTTTTTCCCTCCTGATATTAGTCTCTGACATTCAAATATCAATGTTGGCTGCAGGTTAAGATTTAATTTTCAGCAGCTGGCTCCATTCCATATAAAAGGCTATGATTCTATTTTTGTTTATTATATATGATTTTTATTTTACTCTCCTGAAGCAAATTACAAAAAAAAATTGACAAAAGTGTTGATTCTTCAATGCAAAATTTGTAGATAAACATGTAAACATAATCAGCAGGCTTAATTTTTAAAAATTTACCTTTGTGTTTTGTTACCTTTAAAAGCTCTTTGTCATGAGGATACATGATTTAAAAACTTAACATTTGTACAGGATCACAGTGAATGAGACATGAGGTATTATTCTGCATACATCTTGATCAATCCTTTAATTTTTAAAAAGACATTACTTTCTTAGAGAAGTTTAAGATTCACAGCAAAATTGAGGGGAAGTTATAGAGATTTCCAGTATATCTCTGCCCTCACACATGCATAGCCTTCACCATTATCAACATCTCCCCATTAGGTGGTGTATTTATTTTAATTGATGAACCTGTACTGACATATCATAATTATTGAAATATGTGATTGACATGGTTTGTACTTGGTGTTGTACAGCCTATGAATTTGAACAAGTGTATTATAAGGACATATTTCTATCATTACGGTATCATACAGAGTATTGTCACTGCCCTGATAATTCTCTGTGCTCTGCCTATTTATTTCCAACACCACACCCCAGCCCCTAAAGAACCCACTTGCCATTGCGGGAAACTTGGGTTCAATCCCTGGGTTGAGAAGACCCCCTGGAGAAGGAAATGGCAATCCAGTATTCTTGCTTGGGAAGTTCCATGAACAGAGGAGCCTGGTGGGCTGCAGTCCGTGGGCTCAGGAGAGTCAGACGTGACTTAGTGAGTAAACAACAACCACTGCTTCCAATCCCTACAACCAGTGATGCCTCTACTGTTCCCAGAGTTTTGTCTTGGTAAGATGCCGTATAGTTGGAATCATACAGCATGCAGCATCTTCAGATTGGCTTCTTTGACTTGTAAGTATGCATTTAAGACTCTTGATAGCTCAGATTTTGTTTAGTACTGAACAACATTCCATTGTCTGGATATGCCACAGTTTGTATATCCACACCCACTGAAGGATGTCCACCACAGACTATTCAGCACAGCAGGACCTTATGAAACTGTTGAGAGTCCTGGGCTGAGGTTGTGGGAGGGGAATTAGGTGGAAATGGCTGAGTCGGTGGCTCCTTCTTGGTGGGAGCAGGAAGTGTGTGTTGACAGCACAGCTGGGAAGCAGGGCACAGGAGTCCAGGTTGTGTGTGTTTTATCGTCTTGACACAAGCAGCCACCAGAAGGCCTCTGGAGCAGTGGTGTGGTCATCAGCAGAACCACTCTTTGAAAATTCAACTGAGCAGGAGATTGAAGGAGAAAAGATGTTACTGAAATGTTAATCTAATAGAAGAGGCAACAGGGGCCTAACCCAGGCAGCAGGAATAAGAAGAAGGAGATGATAATACTGAGACCTTAAGAACGGGGGGTAGAGTTCTATTCTAATTCCCTCCTTGAGATGCTCTGAAATGTGAAAATCCAGTCATCTGTGTTCCTTTGCTTGTTGGCCTCCAAAAGGAACATCCTGTCACTCTCCAGGTAGATGGCGTGTTAGGTTGGCTCTTGGTGTCCTGCCGTTGGTCTGGTGGACCCTTCCCAGCACCTGATCCCTGCTCGTCTTAGGGAGAGTAGAGCATACACAGAAGAACTTCCCTGGCGGTTCAGATGGTAAAGCGTCTGCCTACAATGTGGGAGACCTAGGTTTGACCCCTGGGTCAGGAAGATCCTCTGGAGAAGGAAACTGCAACCCACTCCAGTACTCTTGCGTGGAAAAATCCCGTGGATGGAGGAGCCTGGTAGGCTGCAGTCCATGGGGTCACAAAGAGTCGGACATGACCAAGTGACTAAACTTTCTTTCTTTCTAGCAGACACAGAGAGGGGCACTCACGTTCTGCTCAGACCACGTGGGCTCAGATCCTTGCCTTCTCCCCTGTACCTGGGACTTCACTGCTGAGCCCCAGATTCAAGTGCACACGAGGTTGTCGGGGCTGTGAGTCCAGTGTGGCCTCCATGGAGATGAAAGGATTTCCTTTTAAGCCCTGAGTGGTGTCTGACCCACAGGAAGCGCTAGTGCTCACTCACCAGTGTGCAGACACCTCTCAAGGCA